ACACTCACTCATTCTCACACACACACACACACACACACACACTCCTCCCAGTGCTACCAAAGAAGACCTGGTGCTCTGGTGTGCCCTTGCCAAAAAGTGACAGGTGTTCCAATAGGAAAACCAAAAATCAAAGGCCCATGATTCCTATTATACGTTGTGATACCCTGCTTATGTCTGGGTTTGTATAAGTTACTGACATCTGGATTTGACTGAGAATATATAACCTACACGAGGCAGAGCCTGAAAAGAAAAATTAGCCATGACGTGAAATTTCAGATATGTCACAAATCTAAATGTGATCTGTTTTTTGCATGCATAACATATTAAAGTGTTATTTATCCAAACTCTTTTTCATTCTTTTTTTTCTGTTTTCTTACAATGGGGAGAAAAAGCTGCCAGTCGCGTGCCTCCATGGCCCGGAGCCCTTTAACACACACTGTGAATTATGCCTGCAGTGAACATAAACACAGATTTTACAGCAAAACAGTGTTGTATATACACACACAGACTTGAAACACCCGCTCCTTCTCTCATTTAACAGCATTACTGCTGAGATGAACCTTGCTCTATCTCGCCAACACATCATCCGCTGCCTCCCTGAAAACAAACATGTTGATAAGACGGATGAACAACGTTAAAAGTGAAACACTGAACAACAAAAAAAGGCAGATTTCTCACAAGCGGTGCCACAACACACAGTCAGCTTGAACAAGTGTTTGTTTTTGCATGGGAGCGTCAGTGTTGATTTCAAGCCTGAGGAGAGCAAAAACACACATAAAGCTGCCCAACTGTTCAATCACGGTGCTCTGCAAATGGGAATGGGCCTGCAGTCTCAATTAGCTAAGTGTAGCAGGCAGCTGTTGTGTGGCCGATGGAGTGCATCGTTAATTCTGTAAATATACCTTCCCTCATCTGTCTGAGAATCACCCACTCAGGCCACATTTAGGCCAGATGAGCAACAGCTTCGCCAGTGTCTGGTAAAGTTGGCAAAAAATGCGAATGACTCAACAGAGCATGGAGAAAATTTCAATGTTCCTTTTGAGGGATCTCATTTTTCTTTTGAATAGACACAGTACAAAGTTGCCAACTTCACTACAAGGTTTCAAATGTAAAGGAAAATGAAGCAGCATTTAAAGTAATTGTTGTCTGTTCATGTTCCAGTTGTAGCACCTTTTATTCAAACTGAACAACAATGTGAAAAATAAATGCTGTGCTCTTTCAGGAGCAGTGCACCATTGAAACTGATGGTTTAGCACTTGTATTGTTCCTTAAAGTTGGAGCAGAGTGGCAACAACATTCTGCCTCTTCTTTTATGGGCTATCAATAATCTTTTTCTGACACATTATTTGCTGGGTTGGAAGAAAATAGGGAGCAGCACGGTCAGTGGTTCACCACAAAGACTTCTGGGATCTGGCAAGAGCAGCGTGCGTGGGCGATGCATCCACCCTGGGACCCTGCCAGGATGTCTTTTTGACCAGGCTGCTGGAGCACTAAGGACCAGTGACAGAACTGGACGCAGCCTTTGGGGAAAACAGACAGAAGCAATTAGATGACATGACAGTTATGAAGATGATTCTTTGGCAGGTTAAGCTCAGTTTAGAGTTATTCAAAACTGTATTTTCTGGCAGAAAACTAGTGATTTAGCAGCTTGCTTTTACATTAACATCTAAGAAATTTTTGCATGATCTCATGATTCATTTTATTATGTATATGTGTGTATATATATACCTCATGACCTAACAGTTGTTCAACCTCCACCAGTATGCTCTTTTCCATTTCTTCTCATTGCTGCTATTTTTCCCTTGATGACAATATTGCTGGTGTAAAGAATTTTACACCCCCCACCAACCCCAGCACAGCTAAGGCTTTTGGGGAAATTAAATAACCTGAGGATTGAGCTACTTTAGGAAGCTCAATTAACATATTTGCCTCTAGAGGAAAATATTGCCTCAAGTTGAATGGACGGTAATTTTACGCATGGATTTTTCCATCTTAATTCTCACAGCTTTGAATAATCCGGAGAATTTGTTTTACAGAACAAGGGGTTTTAACGTTCTGCACTGAAGATGGGGTGGGTACGTTTTTTGAGAGCTGTGTGTCAAAACAAATAACACTGCATCTCAAAGGGTCATACATTCAGTTGTGTTAATTGAACATGATTCAGTGATTCAACCCAGCATTAGTACATTATAGTAAAGATGCAGCTTCCCCAGAGCGAGATGCAATTTCTCAAAAATACAGCTTGTGCTGCCCGATTGTTGTATACTGGCAGAAACCATTGTTGGCCACTATGATTTTAGACAATCTTCAAGTCTGGTTGTAATCCTGTAATCCTGCATCCCTGCACAAAAAATAATAATCCACAATATCTATATCAGTTAAGCGCACAATATGTTACATTCCAAAACTATTCATCCAAGTTTCAGAGCTTGAGCTTTTAATTATTTGTGTCTATTTCTAAATCCTCATTCACACATAACATAGGGGTCAAATTCCAATTCCAATCTTGGTTCACCTTCCACGCGTTATGTTTAAATCCCACTGTGCACAAAGATCAAACACTTAAAAAGTTGGGATAACCTTTATTACTTCTCATTAGTGGGTAACCTGATGCACGCTGACAAGTTTAACAGTTGCTGCGGTCAGCTGCTGATGCCTCCAAATGGCCTGGCCCTTTGAGAAATTGGCTGACCAGACAGTGAAGTAGTCCCTAAGTCTAGCCTAGTGTGGCTTAGCATGAACTCCATTTGCGCTGTCGCCTCTAGGCCCAAACAAAAAGGGAGTTTTAAAAATGGGCTTTAAGCCTCCAATGGCTCGGCTGACATCCACTACTACAGATCATTAAGGCTCCACAGCTTCTCCCTCTCCAGCCTCAAACACACCAGTGGAGTCATTAAATGCAATGTGTAATTAAAGTTGGAATAAACAAAGGCTTTTCTGCAGGTCTTTTATTTCTCCTTCAACCATGTGTACATCTCTCTCATTTTCACACATGCGTCCTGATTATCTCCTTCTTTTCATTCCCGTTTTTTCCCCTCTTTCTGTGTCTCAGAGTTGACATATAAGAGAGGAAATTCTCATTGGCTCCCATGGTGGTGGTAGGCATGGACGAAGGCCCTCAGCCTAATTAGAAAACTAAATACTCTGAGTAATGCCTAACCCCTGGGAATACAACTGCCATATCTCTTACACATGTGATGTGGAAGGACCCGAAATGCCACTGGGGTGTCTCGCTGAAATATCCTGTGCTGTTCCCCTTTGCACAGCTGTCCACACAGACTCATGCACTTAAGACAGGCTCGCTTTCATAGTTAAAATAGAAATTTGTGTCCTAAGTGCCGCAACACAGCTAATGCTAAATATTTAATTCCCGCGGGTGCTAATTATGGTTGAGTACTGGCAACATGGATTCCCTTTTTTCACTCCACATAACAACTGTAAAAGCAATTTAAGCATTTTTCAATTAATTAAACACATAGTCTTCCAGTAACCTCTTGTCATTTTGCCCTCCAGGACCATAGCTAATTTGTGTAGAATAGAAACTGGAAAGGGGAACGAGTGGGGGTGGGAGGAATTTTCATCTTTGCAAAATGCTCCTACAAAGGAATTAAAAGGGAAAACACACAATTTTCATGAGAGTTTAAGAAGATCACACTCTATTCTTCTCTTTCAAAAAGCCCGTAGTATTGTAAGTGTAGTTTCGAATGTTATGAACCTATATCAGATGATTGTAACCACAAGCACTAGCCCCCATTATGTTATCAAAGCAGTGGAAGATAGTCTGGCCATGAAGCTAATCCCTGATGTATTTTTAGTCACAACTGACTGATGAAGTGAAATTACTACATCAGTGATAAAACGGGACTCTCTCAAAAGCTTATACAAGCAGCAACTGAGAGAGCTCTTTAAGCTTCTGCGAATCTAAATGAGCCTTTACAGCAGTGGTGAAGAATATGACAATATGGTAAAGATGACTAGTGGTGAAATTAAGATAACAATACATTATGTATCGATAATATGCTGAAAGGATCATTTCTACTATGAAGTTCAGTTTCATTGTGCCAGTGGGCCAGCTTAGAATATATAGCAATCTGATTTCATTTATTCATAAAAACTAAAAAATAAATAAATCAATAAAAAAGGAGAAAATCTATCAGCATTTTTGTGATACAAAAAGTGTATTTTTTTAAGTTCACAATGATGCCAAATAGAATTACACTTATTGTACAAAGTATGATATTCCTCTTTGTGTATATGCCATTTCGGTGCATATGCACATGTATATGAGAGCCATTAGGAGGGGCAGTGACACACCCAGCCTCTTATAAAGGCCCCTGTCACTGAAAGAGATCAGAAGCAGGCTGTGAAATCCAGCTAATAGTCATTATGGGATGCTGGTCCCTGCACACTCTGTACCTGCTTGCCAAGGCGGCTCCATCACACTTCATATTTGCATTGTGTCATCTTATCAGCATTCACCCAGACACAGGACAGATCTCATTGCAGAATGACAGCTGCATTACTAATATCAATAAATAAGACTGAGGGGAAAAAGTAGAATTAGATGTCTGTCACTCCAAACAATAAAATAAAAAATAACTAAAATAAACCACACACACACACACACACACACACAAATCCTACAACAGCACAAAAATTGAGATACAACCATGCAACACTAAAAATAGCTGTAAAAATAATATTTTCCCCTGATGTAAAATTTATGTCCAAAATCTTTGTAGAGGACCTCAGCATGTGGTGCCCACCCCCCTGTTCCAAGCAGCGAGGAAGAGTGAACTCTTAAGAACCCTGTGTGCTCAGTCACTTCTGGGCCCATGCAGTCAATAAGGCTATTTCTGATCTCCGGATGGCTAGGGTTTCAAAGCCCGTTTAAATGGGCTCCCACAAAGCCGGAAGCACCAACCTCAGTCTTCTCCCTTCCTGTCTTTCTCCCTCTCTTTTTCCCCCTCCCCCCCCCCCTTTTTCTAAATACTGAGAGGGAGCTCAGCTTGCCTTTCCCCTTGCTAAAGAGAAAGGGGAAAGAGGAGCAGGCGGGGGGTGGTGGGGGTCCTCCCCTTCCACATGCACGGTGGTGAGGAAAGACAGGGAAGCGCAGGGTCAGGGCTCCTAGTGCTAAGCTGTGAAAGGCAAACGTTTGGCAGAGTAATTACACGCCGCACTGCTCTGGGAGTGATTAGTGATAGTTGTCTGTTCAAAGTGTTTGGAGCTCACAGCCTTTATGGGCTACGCTTGCCTTCCCTTTGCTTAATGTTTAGATTGCATTTGCATCAGGAAGAGAGTTGCATGTGTCAACATAAACAGTGTGCCTATGAAGCTCACCAAGTGTGCACTTGCTTATCTTGCTTATTATATTATTATCCAGGAAAGACTGTTACATTATTGTGGCGTACAGCTCACAGTTTATCTGTGTTGCTTGAGTTATCCAGGACTGAATTATAATTTGCCATTCATAGGCCAAAAGGCTTGTGTTTTGAGCTTTTATTTATTCATTTATTTTTATTTTTTTAAACAAATAAACAAAAAATTCTGGTTGGAACCTTCTGTTAAATGTCTCAACTTGGTGCAACAAAATCCTCTGTTTTCACCAGTCAGATGATACTGAACTGCACTGCAATCAGCATGCTCAGGTGGTATAGCCCAACCTGCCGGCCTTTGATGTCCTTGCTGTGTTTATGTTCGCTAGCCATTCTGCTCCAGCACAGTCTGCAGATGTGACTGCAAGCGGTAAGGTGAGCTGCAACACTCCAGAGTAGCGTCCACTTGTAAAGCATACCCTGACAGAGGGTGTGGCAAGAGAAGAACAAATAACAGGATCAGAAGTGGAATTAGCAGTTTAATAATATTAACATCAGACATGTTTCAGTAATCATTCCAGAAAACTGAACTCATTTTTTGTCAAATGAAAGAACTGTCAGATTTAACTTATCAGTGACAGCATTGCGCTCTTTCTTCAATTGCTATCATTTACTTTATTTTTAAAGTAGAAAAAAAAAAGCTCTGGCTCCTGGACAGGAAATCTTTCTTTCATTTTATCCCACTGAAAATGTAACGTATACTTAGAAAGGTTTTTAATCCTACTTATATTTTTTGAGGCCTTAAAAATACCTGAACAAATCAGAATCGTATTTATCAAAGGGATGATAGGTATCCTTTTTCAACACCTTCTGAACTTAATCCCAACACAGGGGCCAGCTAACAGAGGCTTGATACCTGGGTGGCAAAGAAGAGTAGAAACAAACACAGCCGTGGAAAGAAAAGGAAATACCTAAGGGACTTTCTGGGATTGGTGAAGAGGTAAGACAGTACCTGTAGTGCAATCCCTTCCAAATCTGCACCAGGTGTCAGGCATTAAGGAGAGCATCTCCGCTTTGGATTTCCACGTCTGGCTCAATAACCCAGGGCAGTGTGTCAGATGTCGGACAAAATGGTTACTTTCCAAGAAGAAGAAGAGGTAGAAGAAAAGAGAGAACTGAGGCACAGTGTGTTACAGAGGACGATTCTGCTGACAAATATAGATTTGCATCTTATCTAACTTTTTTTCTTAAGTATATTATATACCTATATGTGGCAGTAATTTCAGGACTTTGCAATGATTCTCGTCAGTGTCTGACATTTAAATATTCAATTACACATGAAATTTCTCTCATATCACTAAAAAGGCAACGAGACAATAAAATTTGGCCAGCAGAACTGAACACTGCATTTTAATGAGTTAAGATAGATTAAGGATTATAATACACTGTTATCCCACTGAGACTTTCGGTTAACTACAAAGACAACCATGCACTGCCTATTCCCTGTGTGAAAATACAAAGAAAGATAGCTTGACATTAATATTACATTCTTAATAATGAAGACAAGTTCTAAATTGAATACCTAGCAACTTCTCAATTTAAAGCAAGTAAGCATTTTGCAAGTGCAATTGTCCTGAAACAAAACAGTGACAGCAGACTTCTTAAGTACCAAGAGAGCGAGAGCAACATAGAGCCATGTTGGCATTGTTGTTTCCGCAGATTATACATGACACACCGAATAAAAGGGACTGATTGTAAGATGTTTAAATGTATCAGAGGCATGGGAGAGGAAACTTAATACCTCAGCATTGGGAGATGGAGAATGCGACCGGGCACGTGCGGAATGCAGAGTGGCAGGAGGAAAGCAGCAATCTAAATTTCTAATGCTGAGGATGTTTCCCATTCCGTGTTTATGAAACATGGCTACCGGGACTACAAAGGTAAGAGGATACAGCATCAAAGCCTGCCCTGACAAAAACAAAAAAGCAACAATGCTGCAGTGGAATGCACGACAGAACATAATACTCCACCTCCTCCTTCTCCTCTCCCCTAAGCAGTCTCATTTGATTACAGTGTAGCAGGCCCCAAATCAACCTCTTAGTCCCAGTTCTCACTCCCCGCTGGTGCTGTGAGTAGGAGGTAGAACACAACTTGCCAAAGTGGCTGGGAAGGAGATGAGGAGAAGTGATGTCGTGGAGGAGAATCTCTCATTCTGAGAACAAAAGAACACGGCAACGGGTAAGCCAAGGTGTCCGCGGCAGGGGTGGAAAGTGGCTGTCATCTCGAGTGTGGTGACTGAGGCAGAGACTGCATGTCTGATGACGACGAGGCAATGTATCGTTTACAGGCTCCCTCAGCAGAAGCCCCTTGCATGTCCGTCTCCAGCCACAGAGTTCGCCCTCTACTTAAAGCAACAAGAGTCAGGCTCAGCATTACAAGCCTATTAAAAGATACTTTTAATTATGCCCTGCTCTCCCGGGATCACTTCTTCCATGAACTCTGTGTTTCTTTGGCATGTGCACTTAGGAATGGCATAACCAGAAGCACGTGTTGTTTTCTCCCTCCAATTAAAGGGCATGTTGACAGATTAAGGCTGCTTCTGGTTTGTGCTCCACTAACGCGTTTAGGGAAGATGATGAACGTGGAGGGGGGAGGAGGGGGGCTTGAAGAGAGAGAAAGAGAAAGACAGATAGAGAGAGAGGAACTGATATAAGAGAAAAGGAGAGAAAGAACATGCACATGAACCCTGAGGGATTAATGTGTTTACATTACCTGGGCTGTGATCTATCACCAACCTCGTCAACTTCTATTATGCATCACATACATAAGCAAGCAACAGACCTGGGAGCCCCTGCAACTCACTCATACTATTTCAATTGGATTAAGTCAGTGCAAATATCTAGGGCACAGCTCCCACACTGTGGTTTTAGCATTCTAGTTGTCATTTGATTTGTATGTTGTATCAGTTTACCTTTGTAAAGGTGACACAGAAATGCCTCCTACATGTCTCCAGAGCTTTTAAGTAACATGAGTCTTGGATTATTGCCATATGGCACCTATAGTACCTTAACCATAAACATGCTATTTAGCCATAGATCTGATAAGAAGCGAGTCAAGTATGGACACTCTCAGATCATGAATCAAAATACACAGGAAAAGTTGAATGTTGAGTGTGTTGATTCACCATCTGAATGAGGTGTATTTAGTCCCAGCTGTGCATGCAGGTCTGCAAAATATTCAGTTGGAGAGGTTCAGCATCACTGCAGTGAAGTCTGCAACAGGGCTCATATTCACACTCAGGCTTCATTATATCCAATCAATATTCATTTACTCACTGAGCCTATTGACTCATTTCTGAAGTAATACTTCAGGTCATTCGTCTTGTCATGGAACAGGGGGAATTATCTCTTTTATACCAACCCCCATTTGGAGAACGAAGTATGGGTTGAGTCTGGATACACCCTATGGATACAACTGTAAATAAATATTTTTGATAAAACACAGAAAAATCAATGGGTGCTTCCTGTGATCCATCTCAAGCGAATCAATCATCATCTGCGCAGCTGGCAGTGTATTGCAGGAGGATGGCGTGGCAGTGAGAGAGGGGTGTAATCTTCGTCTGATATCTCTCATTTTGGAATCGCTTCCCATAATAGGGTCATCATTTCATCACTTAGCCAATCCAGAGGCCTGCCATTCAGCCTTGCGGGGATCGTGGGGAGTAGGGAGAAGTGGGGGGAGCTGATATACCCCATCAGGAGGAAACCGAAGACACACACACACTCTCACTCCATACATCTTCATTCAGGTCAATAAAAGAAAAAGAGATCACAAGAACAGAAAGGAGATCAAAAAATAGATTCTCTCCCCTGAAAGCCATATTATTGTGCTTCATGTAAATTGTATGATTATTAAAGTCAAATCAACCCATCGAATCATGGGCATCAGTTTGTGTGAGGAAAAGTGGTGATACTAAGTAAAACATTAAGGGATTCTATCTCGAATAAAAACAAAACAGGAATAGCAGCAATGCAGCATATTTAAAAACTATAAGAGAGTTAAAAAATTGATAAATTATTACAGTTCTATAAACACAGAACTGACTTTTTGAGTATATATATCCACCTGTGTTTTTTAATTATCGTTTCAAAATGTGAAAAAGGTTATTTAACTTAAGGTGTATTTGCAAGTGTGCTTGTGTGTTTGAAGGTTAGGGTGCATTTCACTGACTGCTTGGTGACTTCATCAACATGGATCTGGGATTCAAAAACAAAAACAAAGAGTCAATTATTATTTTTTTAATTCATTTAGGAAAAATAACACCAAGAACAGCAACTTTTTAAGAGTGAATTGGGCATTAAAAAAAGGAATAACAATTTTAGTCATGCTTATCACTTATATAACACTTTAAGAAATATGGAAATTTACAGCTCTATAATGCAAAACTAATAATAGCCAATCAAATGCTAGTTGTTTAGTCGAGAGCTAGTGCACATATGTTTAATCATTTAACAACCCTCCCTTTTGAGAAAAAAAAAAAAAAAAAAAAGCAAGGTCAAAAATAAATTACATCCATTATTTGCAGCAGATCTCCCCACAGCATTTGGAGCGAAAACTGTTTTGAATTTCAATTGGCTTCCAAGTGGCAAAAGCCCTCAGCTAATACATCAAAGAAAAATTGGTGTCAACTAATCGGTTTAGGACACAGATTTAGAATGGTTAAAAATCCCATGAATACTTCAAGCATTTTTCTGTATACCACTAAAGGCTTGGGAGCAGTACAGCTGACCTTGTGCGCTCCAGAAACCTGTCTGCCACTCGACATTAACTGACTGTTTAACGCACCCAGCCACGCAATTAGTCCGCCACAACGCATAATGTTGTGTAATAATAGCTTCTATATCCAATTTAGATTACGCTTGCTCCCTCAGGCATTTTAAGTGGCATGCATCATCTTTCATTCAATTCTTCTTTGCCACTTAAAAACGTTTCCATGCGTCAAAACGGAGGCAGTTCACTCAGGGGGGAAAGAGGAAGAAGAAGTGATAGCGAATAGGAAGAGACACAGTCAGATAATATCAGAATAATTAAAATATAAATGAAGATTAAACCCAGAATATTGCGAACATTTGCGTAGTTCAAATACCTTTTCGCATTAAAAAACACACACAAATGAACAAAACTGTACTCACCTATACCTCCTCCTTTATCGGAGCAGTGCTGAGAGGCGGTAGCAGTTGCCATAACCCTACTCCTATTATAGGCTCCGTGATCTCAAATTATGGGTCCTCCTCCTACTTCAGAGAGCAACTCTGAACCAGAACGCATTAAGGAGGACACATGACACAGACCCTTCATCCTAGGCCCTCAAAACTTTTCCCCCCTATATCTTATGAAATAAATAGATAAGTAAATATTTCGGGATGAAACAACCCACAAGGCACAATATTCCAGTTATGGGAATTTTATAGCTCGTGGCACACAATCACTCCACTATTAAATACATTTACGTCTCTAATAAGGAGGCTGTTTAACACTGCTGCTTTATTTTAACTTTAACGTAAATTAAAAAACGAATACATATATATATATATGTATATATGTATATTAGTACCGTCTGTTATTATGAGAAAAGTTTCAATAATTACTTGAGTGTCTAATCACTACAGGGCGCTGTGAAACTAGGGCTCATGGTATCACTGTCATCTGATTAGGCTACTGTAGGATCGCTTTGTGCATCCATCTTTCTCTTTTTCCCCTCTTTCTCTCCCTCGTAAGTCTGAGTCTTCTCCCACTGTACCACCGTCATCATTCTTTGCTCTCTAGAGGTTTTCGGAACGTAAGAAACACGTGACAATATGTGCACACACACTCTTTAGCAGCGCCTACAGCGATCCCTTTCGGCTTATCTGAGACTTGAACTGGAAAGTCACCAGAATGAGAATGGGCTTTTAGATGTTTGAAACATACTAAACAAAATAATAAAATTCAGCTCATATTTTGAATCCAAGTTAGTATTCCATACTTTTGAAAGAACGACATTTATGTCCCAATAATAATTATAATAATAATAATAATGACCGTTAATTATTATATTTAATAATGATGCCTGGACTTATCTTTATTAAATGTATTTAAATATATTTAACTAATTAACGATAAAAGCGGTACATTTAACACCGTTTATCTGTTTTCAGGAACAGAAATGCATCTACAGGGATCAAATGAGTTTGTCCGGTGAGATTCGGTGCACTTGGCACTGTTCTGCCCTGGTTTGAAGGTTCATGAGTTTCTGGCAGTGTAGCTTATCCGACTGGTTCATTTCAGGATAATTTGCAAAAAAATACAATAAAATAAGCAAATAGCCGTGATCACGGAGTGGACGACCATGCGTTCACAATTAAAACATAAAACCGTCGACATGATAAAAAATAATAATAATTCTCACCTACAAAACTATTCTCACACAGTTGTCGCTCGAGGACAATTTGCGCCATCTTACTTTTACTTTTGTCACAGGCTATACTGTCTTACCAATGCAACAATCGTCGTGCGTTAGAAAGTCGACTTGCACAACTGTAGTAATCCATTTGAAACCCCAACTGCCGATTTTAATGCAAGGCGCACGGAGATCGCGTGGCGTCAGTCTGTTGATTTAACGCAAATGTGTGAAATGAGGACGTTTTTAAGCACAAAGAAAGAATAACAAAAAAGAGAGCACTGCGGTGGACCATCTTTTTTAATTCCTGCCGGTATCTTGCGAGCCCATATCCTGGCATACAACAGCCGACTTGTTATTGATCAAGTGTGAAAGTGACGGCTTCCTATTTGGAAGAAAAAGAAGAAAGTTGGGAGTTGACAGACTCGCATGGTGTCGCCATCCAAAGGGGGGGCTGCAAGGCGCACTTACAGCAACAAGCCTTGTTAAAGAAGAAAAAATAGAGAAATAAAGAATGAGAAGGGTTGTTAGTTAACGCAACGGAAAGGAGGGGGTGTTAGAGAGAAGAGAGAGAGGGAGAGAGAGAGAGAGAGAGAGAGAGAGAGAGACCATGGGTTTGGGCAGAGTTGTGGTTACCCAGCATAAGCTTGCCTTTTCCTTCTGTGACTACACCCCGAGAGGAGGAGCGTAGAGTGCAGCGTAGTAGGCGTCAGGATCCTCAATTTCCAACTTAGCATCTTGGCAGGACATTTTCCCAAGCAAAGCCCCCGTCCGACTGGCAAAGAAAAAAATAATAATAAAAACTTCTGCATGGGCATGAGAGCGAGGATTCAACTCCGATAAGGGAGCAGCAGAAAACAAAACAAGACCAAACCTCCGGCGGACAGTGGCTGACTGGCTGACTGGCAGCGACCAAAAAATCCACCCAAAATCCAAGCTTATTTTCATCTAAAAAATTACTTTTTGCCTTGACAATTGCCATTTAGAAGGGGGGGGAGACAGCGGGCTGCAGATACAGCTCTATGCGCTCCGACATCAGCGCATGAGAAAATAAAGGGGGGAAAGTGCACAAGTTAAGTGGCTTATACTCTCCAGACTCCAGCATGGCATATCCTCAGGGCTACTTGTACCAGCCGTCCGCTTCATTAGCCCTGTATTCGTGCCCCGCGTACAGCACCAGTGTTATATCGGGACCCAGAACCGAGGAACTTGGGAGATCCTCTTCGGGATCTGCGTTTGCGCCAT